ATGTAGGAGTGGCCAGTGAGCAGATTTCTCCATGGCCTCCCTTGTGTAAGGGCAGCTCCCCTATGGATGCGTCTGCAAGGTTTGCAGTCTGTAAGCCAAAGAAATGTTTCTGATAATCCATAACTTGCCTAACAAGGACTCCCCATGCAAAAATGGTTGTTTGTCTTCAAAGAAATGCTTTTGGAGAGCTATTTTGTGGTAAGTCACTCAACGTTACTGATCCTCATTAGATTAGAGAAGTACATGCTTTCCCTCCAGGAAGAGTATGTAAGCGTTGGAATTCCTAACATTAGAAATGATTGAAACTGAGTGGTTTGAAATGGTAATTTTTCCTATAGCTGACATTTAAAAGATGACAGGGTTTTTTTCCCATGTCCATTCTCATTATTTATCAGAACTTACTGTGTGATTTACATCCATAGCAAGTAAAATGGAAAGCCTGACTCCTTTCAGGCCACTGCCTCCCATCTCCTCCCCCTGCTGCTGTTCCAGCCTTTACCAAACACCTGCACTGCCACCTTCTGCCTCTCTTACAGATCACAGCTGAATTTCCACCACGATTTTTTTTTCCTCATCCTGCCAAATTCATGATGTATGTCCTAGGAAAATTTGGAATACAAAGAAGAAACCGTGTGTGCACATGCACAGTCAAAATGGTCTGTAAATTGATTTTTGTTTCTAGCTGGTCTCTATTACAGATGGCAATTGCACTATACCTAATTCCTGGCTCTAATTTAGAGGAAGGGAACCCTACGGTGTTGCTCCCCATGACCCAAAAAACTGTAATACTTTGCTCGGCTACTGTTAAGTCAACATATTGGCCAATGATTAGGCACAAGTATTTTTCCAGGTTTGCTCAACAGCCTGATTGATACAGGCAATGTCTGAAATAACCAAATGGGTGCTGGTGGAAGACAAAGCTTAGACCATCAGTTGGTATAAATCAGAATTTCTCACTTCGGAGAAGCTACCCTGATTCATACCCAGTGGTTATCTGTTTCAAGTTATCATGTGGACTGTGCTGGTTGTGTCTGCTTCTACTGTGGCTTAGGAAAAGGAAACCCAAGTGGCGCATGTCTGTGGATTATGGATGGATGAGAAACGTCCTTTTCTTTTTCTTTCTTTCCAGTTGAAATATTAAATACAAAGTCAATTTGAGAAAAAAATATATCTGAAAGCGAAGTGAACACAGATGTACTTTAAACCCTCTCACGTTGCTCATTTAAAAGAATTCTTGGTATTTTTCCTTTCCTGGCTAAGGAAGGGGTGCCAAAGTCACTCTCTATTTAGGAAAATAAATGTTCTTCATGAACATGCTAATTCCTGCAGCAGCCAGCCCCACACGGAGTGGTACTTCCAAGCAGGAGCAGAGTCCCTGGCCCCAGCCCTGCAAACCTTTCAAAGAGAGATAGGCTCACCACTGTCTCCTGGAAAGTGCCAGAGCAATTATGAAATATCTAAACCCCAACCTTTAAGAGAAAGCCAGTTCTTGCAGCCTTGAGAGACTTGATGCGTGCAAGAAAAGGTTGGAAAAATTTCCTCTGCATTGTAAACATGATTTCCCTCAGCATGCCGCAGCATGGCTAAGGGAACAGTGGCATCTGGTGTTTGCTGAGCTGTCTTACAGCCACCGCTTCCCAGGTGGGTGCTGGCAGGTTTCGCTGGGCGTGGGCAGGATTTGGCTCCCCACATGCAGGTATCTAGTGGCACCTGAGACTTGTAGGACGTCAAAGACATCTGTACAAGCCTCCAGGCGTGATACAGGCCATATGAGAGACTCAAGCCCATCTGAATGGCAGCTAGAGGTCTGGATGATGCATCAAACGAGAGAAATCCAAACTTGCTTCTAGTGAAGAAGGTAATCACTCTTGTTGGGGGGATGAATTCCCTCCACCCAGGACCATGTCGGTGATGCAGCATCACCAGGGAGCCTTTGTCTTGGATGCTGTTTGAGATTTATATATTTTATGAAAAGTTTATTCCGTCTTTCTCAATGGAGAGGAATTCACTGCTAAATGAAGTGCTCTGGTCCATTTGGTGAGGCAGCCTGTCCACCCAGAGGCCTATGACACTTAGTCTGTGCTGCAACAGTTCCAGGGTGTGATGCTCAACTTTGTGTGTCTGACTTGTTTTTACCATTTGAATGTCTCCTCAGTTTAATCTCACGTTCTCAATTTGAGACCCAAAATGCAAGTGCTGCCTAGGGGCCTTTCACCTGCCAGGGATTTTTAACTTGCCCAAAATCTAGAATGAGTTTCACTGGGAGATGTTTGTTTGTGCTTCTTTCCCCATCTTTGTTCTTGCCCTTAAACAGGATAGTCCCACCATATCTGCTGTATAGACGTGGATAACTTTTCCTGTGATAGAGCCTAAATAAGTCTTTTAAACACCTCTGGCAGGTCAGTATCAATAGGCAACTGGGCAGTATCTGAACCTTATGGTGAGTGTGTGCTGTCTCTGGGTTCCAGGTGGAGGGTCCTGTACTGCTGGTCCCCAAGACACAGCCAGAGGCTTGCTTGGAGACAAACTAAGCTGTGTTTCCTTCTCCTGTCAGCAGAGGAAGCCCAAATCTGAGCAAAACAAAAGTTAAAGAAAGATGTGCATCTCCCTGGTAATTTCTGTGCAAATTAGAAAAGGCAAATTATTATCTTCATTTTACTAACTGAAATTCAGTTATCAGTCTTCTACCTCAAGTGCACGGAAGACAGGGCACTTCCTACTGAGATGAACAGAAGGACTAACTTGAGCTTGGACCTCTATGGAAACAATTTCTGTTGGTTTCTGTAATTTTTCAAGTTGCAGATTTTTAGAAGTTCTGCATCCTTATACTTAACCAAAGGCTGTTTTGCAATATTTGCAGGTTCCCCCATGACCAGTTTTACTGAGTGCTGGGACTGACAGACCTTTTTCTGTTCATGTTGTGATCAGTACATAATTTGATGCACAAGTCTGCAAGCGTGGTTACTCCTCCCTGCTGTGCAGAAGTGAGCAGCTCCACTCTGATCCAATGCTGCTGTTAATTCCTGCTCCTCCCTGTGGCTGTGCTCAGAAACTCAGTGCTTCCCCCGCACAGGACCTTACTTCGGTAGCTAAACTCATTCAGAGATCCTAATTATTATCTCTTTTAGGCAGTTTCTGTCCTATTAAGTTACAACAAATTACATTTTGTTGACATCAGAACCTGTTTCACAGCTACAAGTGACAGCAAGGGGTGTTTCTGCAAAGGCACTGCTTAACGGCGACCTCCATCACCCAAACAAGCAGCACCACAGCTAACAAGGTATCCCTTCTTCTTGGGCACAAGATTTAGAAACTCATCAGGTGGTTTTATGTAACACGTAGTACTATAAAGTGATAACATCCCAAGGGCTGACTTTCGGGTGGTGTCATGTGTTTTGACATGGTGTTCCTCGGACCACGGGATCTCTGTTCTGCAACAGTTTGTTCAAATCAAACCCCGGAGACACCATGCACCGAAGTTTGTTTTCTATAAAAACATAGGAGGTTTTCCAAAGTGCAGCTGAACTTCTGCTTAAAAAAAATCAATGGGAACTGGGCACCTAGCTCCAAATCCCACTGAAATTAAATTCAATCCCCATCATCTCCTGTGAAGACTTTGGTCTTAGGCTGGCAAACAACCCTACTCTTGCAAGTCAACGGGCAATTTTAACTGTACAGAGAACAAGTTGCAGAGACATATGCTCTACAAATACCCCAGCCGTTTTGCTATCAGCAGTCCAGAGAAATGTTGTTGTCTGAATAGGGTTACAGAGAGAGTAAGAAACGTTGGTTTTGTAATGTGTTTTGTTTATTAAACTCAGTTTTCACTGATGTCCTGAGTTGACAAAAGTGTTTCCCAGGAAGACTGACAAACAGAAAAAATTAATAAATATATATATGTGTATTTCAAACACTGTAGGTATAAACAAATAAAAGCTCTGTTTTGCTATTTTGGGAGGTTCTGTGTAACCAGCATTTTCAACTGGCCAATTAGCAGCACATGTGTTAATCAGTGAAGAACTTCCACTTGTTTTTAAAAGATCAAATCCAGTGTTTTAAAATTATTGCTCATTACCAGACAAAACCCCAAGATATCAAGGGTGTTCATTAAAAATCTTCATTAACAGCAGGGACGGTATACATTGACAGTACATGCAGCTTTATACTGGGGGGGGGTTTAATGCAATTAAGACCAAAACTTTCAGAAATTAATTAAGATGTTGGGCAACCAATCTGAGGATATTACAGGAGCCAAATTCTCAGCAGGTCTGACCTTGGCACCTCCCTAAAATCTACCTTCTTTTAAGATGTCAGGCTGAGCACCCCCCAACACAAACACCTTCAAACCACTGATGGCAGGGGATACAGCACCCAACTGCGACACTGCTCCAAGGCTTTGCCGCCTGGTGCTAACTCCTCTCCCGACTACGCACTGCTCCTGCCTCTTTGCCAAATCCCCTGGGACCTGCCTGGTGGGGCTGCCACGGGCTGGGGATGAGGAAGAGGACCAATGCACAGAGAAACGTCATGGAGTTGTAGACGACTGAGGTATTTTTCGTTCCTCACTGGTCCTCCTGGCTAGCAGGGTCGAGGGAGGGGACAGTGGCAGGTACCAGCGGAAGGCGGAAACATGGATCTCCTCGCAGTGCTTTTAACTAGAGGCATCTCAACTTTTGCAGCTACTGGTAGCAATGCCTTGTGCGGCAGGTTCCCCTTGTGGCTATGGCATAGACTACTAGGCTGGCGGTCTCCCACCGGGGCTATGCTACAGCAGTTCTTGCTCCCTTCTGCTTGGGAGCACCTCGGGGCCAGTGTCCACCTTCCTGTGCCTTCCTGATGGGGCACGGCTCGCTGACCTCCTTGCTCTGCTCCGTCCGGCCCACTTGCTTCTCTGCAGGAAAACAAGGAGCGGCACTACTTGTGCTAACCCCTCGGCAGAGGAGCCTGGTCCTGGAAGGAAAGAAACCTGCTGTCCATCTCGCACCAGCAAGGCACGTTCCTCAGGGCATCACAGCAGAGATGCACTGCGGGGCCTTCTGGCTATCGTCCACTCTCTCCCCGCTGGGTCTCTTTGGATACACCACGCTGGCCATCTTGAAGAACTCATCTGCAGCGTCCAGAGCTATGAGCCGATCCTGCCAAAGCAAAGGGTTTTACAGTCACTACAGGCTGTTTTGGGCAGCTCCCTGGTCAGGGTCCTCCCCCCACAGCTGCGCTCAGGTTAAGCCAAGCATTACGTCTAACCTTTTCTCACTTCGTTAACAGGCTGCAAGAGCACCCAGTTGCACAGCCTTAAAGGAACTTTTGGGAGCAAATTTATGGTACTACAGCACTGACATTGCCAAGGAAGCTGAACAGCCAAGCTACAAGTGCAACACCTGATGGGGACACCCCAGATGCCACCATGTATTTGAGCATCCTCTGGTGCAGTTCACCTATCCGCTCCCCTTCATTTGATCTCACTTGCAGAGATGGGGGCTGCGGGGAGGAAGGCACGCTTGGAGCTACTCACCACCACGAAGAGGTAGCGCTCAGAAAGCTCCCAGCTGGTTGGGAAGATGTTTGTCTCTTCGGAGAGCTTTAACAGGATGTCCCGGGCTTTGCCCATGTTCTGGGAGTCGCTGATGATGCTGAGTTTGGTCACTGACAAGAGGGAGTCCGCTTCCTTCTGGAAACCTGGGAAAGAGATGTGTTACAGAAACAAGTCAAACATGCAAGCAGGGTCATCCCTGAGCCCTCCAGGCTCTTGCAAGGTTCCTTATTCCCCCTCCACCTTGGGCTGCTGCGTTCCCTACTTGCTAAAACAAACTAGCGTTTCCTTGAGGCACACTCCATGTCTGCACTTGGGGCAGGTATGAGCTTGCTGGTGGGGAAAAAAAAAACATAAACCCATTCAGAGCAAGTTTGTTGCTAGTTTTCCAGAGAAGGCGTATCAACATCCACACCCAGGGTGCTGATTCAGCTCTTGCATGTTCCTGATGTTGCCAGAGCTTTCAGGGCTGGTGGGGCTTCCTGAGCACCCCAGCGACTACGCCTATATGTTGTTGGGAGGTAACAGTGATAAAAAACCTGCGGCAGTAATGAATGCAAAGAAAATTATTCCTGTCAGCATCTCTTATAGGAAGGGTATCCAGAGAAGGAAAGGGGGAGGAGAATGAATGCAGGGATCTAAAGTAATGGTGGCTACCATTAACTCTTTGTTCAGCTCCAGGGAGCTGATGGGGGTGGGG